GTCTGGGTTCCAGACCTATCCATGTACCTGTCACTGTGGCCAGCTCTTGGAATATGTTGATTGGACAGGCCAGCCAGGGTCACCTGCTTCTCCCAGAAGCCAGAATGGTAAAGGGTCAGCCCTATATGAGCTTCATGGCTGCAGAATTATTCATATCTACAGCAGTCCTTCAGATTGTCCCTCGTAATGTAGTTACTAAACCAAAAGAAAATGATGTTTGGTAGGCAACCCCATAGATGTCCCTTACATCTGCTCCTAAGTCCCACAGTGAGTTAGCAGTCTCTGGATGCCCCATTTGGTTTGAATATTGCTCCTGTCTCTCCTTTGCTAGCATATTGGTGGCTGGCCACGAGAGCCTCCATTAGGCTGTTTCTGCCTCAGACTTACCTCCATCTGTTCAACCATCTCCAGCCCTCTTCTTGGCCTTCCTCATCCCTAGCCCCAGTCTGCTGCAGGGGCCTGTCCAAGGGCTGGTCCAGGGACTCATGGCCACCATTGTCCAAAGCTGCTTATTAGGGACCCACTGTGGGAATCCTTCCAACCATGAACAATGAATTTCTGAAGCAGGATAAAAACAGCCTTTGCCAGTCAGCAAATGAGACAAATTGAATTGCTCATCCCCCTTCCTTGTCTGCCTAGCACTTGGAACACAGTGGATAAGAACAGGCAGGCTAAGTGCTCTGGCATCAGAAAGTCCTATGTTTGAGGCCTGCCACTCACTAGCAGGGCTAGTTGTCTCACCTCTCTGAGCCTTGATTTGTGAAATCTGAGTGAGGATTAAAGGAGGCAATGGATACGATGTGTATGGTACAGAGTAGGAGCTCATAACCACAAATCTTCATTATTTTCTTTCCAGGCTCCAGTCTGCACCAGGATGTGGACAGCCCTTCCAGTAGTGATTAACACCAGACACTATCACTGTGAATATTAAAAAACATGATGCATTCCAAAGCCACATAAAACATATGGGCCGTGGCACTCTTACATCCTGTCCACCCGAGGCTTGCTGTGTTCCTCCTAGAAGCTACACTGCATTGTGTATCTTCTACTTCTCACAACAGCTGGCTCTCCAATCCAAACAGAATAGCATTGTGAGGTATGATGGAGAAGCCCAGGATTGGGAGTCCTGGGCTCCAGGATAGTCTCTGCCACTGCCTTGCAGTGTGACCTTGGGAACCTCACTGTTTCCTCCTTTGTCAAATGACAAGCTTGGTGCAGTGAACTGCTTAATATGGCCCTTCTAGTCATAGTCTTTAATTCCCACCAAATGACCGGATGGGACAATGCAAATGTGAGTTGCTTACGGGCCACTAAGGGGATTGGATAGCTTGCTAATAATGTAAATAAGGTATATGGTACTCTTGAACCATGTAAATAGTGTAAAGAACCCTAACGAAGGGATTGGTCAGTTTTGCCCTCCCACTAGGCTTAAAAGAGCCAATTACAAAGCAGAGACAGGACCTGACTACAATCAAGAGACAGGGATGGAGTGTGTCCTTTGGACTCAGTGTCCCTGTGCTAGGATCTAGGAGACAAAAAGCTATTAACAAGAACAACCAGTTGTGGTAAAACAGCAGCACCAGAACCAAGAGACAGCGTGTTCAGTGCAGGAAGGAGGCAGAAGGCTGGAGGTACTCTAGGGCAAGGGTAAGAGGGCAGGCGCTAGGATCAGACACACCTGGTTTGCACACTGATAGTGCTTTCTTTCCAGATGTATTATCTTGGGTGAATGATCCACTGTGTAACAAGGATGATAATGGTATCTACCTCAGGTGGCTGTGAGGATTCAATCACATTAATGAGATGATGCTTATAAAGTGGTGTTTAGAACACAGCAGAGCTCCATAAAAGTTGGCTTAGTTTTACTCCTCTTTGGTTGAAATTCCTCTTCTTTTTTGCCATCCATGACTAAGCTCTATGAAACAGTCCTGAGTCTCAACTTGGCTCTACCTCTTACTTTATCTCCAAGCAACAGAACCTCCATTTTCTTCATCTCTAAAATGGGCACAAGATGACTTTCCTCAAAGGTTGCTGACAGTGCCTAAATGATTTGTACAGAAAAGGGCTTTTCTCCTTTATTATCATCTACCTTAGGCTGAGTTCTCTAGAGAAGCAAAACCAGTGAAGCTTATATACAGAGAGATTTATCTCAAATAAATGGCTCACGAGGTTATGTTGTTGTTGTTAAGTGCTGTCGAGTCGTTTCCGACTCATAGTGACCCCATGCACAGCAGAACGAAACACGAGGTTATAAAAGCTAGTAAGTCCCAAGTCCGTCAATCAGACATCAGGCTGGAGGATTCTCTTGACTCATATAGCTGTAGGGGCTGATGAGCTCAAGATCAGCAGGTCAGATGGCAAGCTGCTGGCTCACAGCCTTCATAGACTAATGTGTCCCAAGATCAGCAGGCAATATAGCAGGTTACTGGCTCAAGGCCAAAGAACCAGAAGTCAAATGATGAGCCAGATGCAAGACCCAGACCAAGTAAGAAGCCATAGAGCTTTGCCAGGAGGCCCATGTATTTATTGGAAGCAGGCCACACCTGTGAGGAAACTCCCTTTCAACTGATCATATCAGATCTCACTATGAAGGCGACTACATTTTATCAGATCTCATTACGGGAGTGACTTAACTGCCAAACCAGAGAATCACGGCCCCGCCAAGGTGACACACCACCGTAACTATCACATCACTCATTTTACCTTTCACAACAGTTAGCCCTCAATTTTAGCCTTGCCCAATTCATCTTCACAGCCCCAGTGCTATAGCATCTGGCTCATGGGAGACCAACTACCTTCCTCTTGACCCTTATAAGCTCTGTAAACCTTTGGTTCACTCCCTCCCTGATTGGAACATTTAGTCTATTTACATTCACTGTAATTATTGGGAAATGACTTCTGCTATTTTGTTTTTATCTGAAGCCTTGTCCTTTACTACTGCTTGCTTTTATTTTAACAAGCCATTTTGGTTCCCATCTCCTTTCCTTTTTGTTAAGTTTTTAAAAATATTTTCTTAGTGGTTACTAAGAATATTTAGCAGCTTGTACTTGTAACATTCTAAATTGGTACGAACTTCAATAACATACAAGAAATCCTGTATTTACTCTATTCTTTTGTTGTCGTTATCACAAATTGTTATCTTTACATTCCACGTGCCCTGTAACTTAATTTTATCCTTGCTTTTTATACATTTGTTATTAAAAAGCATAAAGGGTGAAACAATTTAGCCTTTGGTCTAATAACTGTGCTTCCAAGCCTGAACTAAGAAATCCATTATATAAGCAATTACTTATGTTAACAGAATGTAGTGGTAAAATGGAAATAACCTAATAATCTAACCATTTGATTAGAATTAAGCAAATCAGCATATAGTTGATAAACTATATAACCAGTTAACATAAATGCTTCTGAATACTATTTAGTTAGAAAGAAATAGCATTATTTGTTAAGTAAAAAAGGAACAAGACATCATGTATATATGTTTGTGAACTTGTTTTGATATATTCCTGGGTTTTGAAGCATGAATTGTTTGAGTCTGAAAAATGAAATGGAGGATATTCAAAATAAAGTTCTAAGGCTGGCCCAAATCCCACCAACTTTCTGGTGAATTTTTATTCCCCCTCCAATCTTTTAATGCAGGCTGAGTCTGGCTTTGAGACCTAACATATCCAAATGAAGTATCAGGTTGTATATTTTCTAAGAAAAGCTAGTTTCTCAGGTAACAAAACTGAAGCTCCCCCCCCCCCCAACTACCTGGCAGGTTATTTGGAATGCATCTTAGAAAATCAGTGACCTGTTGGACTCAAAGAAGCCACCCCCAAAAAAATTGTATAAAAAGATTTATTGAAATTTATCAATGACAAACAGACATAAAACTCAAAAGTTTGGCTCTTCTGAGGGGGAGAAGAACTGGAGCAGATGTTCTTTTATACAGATGAAACACGGACTAGGAAGTAACACGTCACTTCTAAAGCAATCCAGAAGAGGGACATGAAAGCCAACCTGTACATTCACTAGGAATTTGCAGTCATTTCAGATTTTTACTAGGTAAGAAAATACAATTTTGCATTAGTTTTTCCGTGCTCGGGTGTATGAAAAAAAAAAAAAACCAGCCGACATGCAGCAACGCCTCCTGCACTTAGGTCTGTAAAAATGTTCTAAGCACAGAAGTACACATGGAAGAATTCTCTTGCCATTTTGTAAAACAAAGCGTTCTAAATATCTTACAGACCAAGATAGGATAGTTTTTGTTTTGTTTTGCTTGTTTTCCCTTTTAAAGAGGTTGAAGTTTGAGGGTTTGCTTCTCTCTTTGAATTGTAATTGTAAAACTCATTTTACTTGTAACTCCTAAGCCCACTGTTCTCAGCTCTCTGGCTGAAACATCAGAGCCCTCTTCATAGAGGGAAGCCCAACACCATCTGAGAAGGGGGGAGGGGGAGGAGAGATGGGGAATATCCCCAAACCAGTGCCAAAATAGCCTTTAGGTTACTATTTACAAACCTGGACGTCAGATGCCTCTAGCAGGCCCAAGAAATGCAGAAGTCATATGACCCAGAACAAGCCTTAAGACCTGGCAAGTGCTCAGCCTCTTCTGGGCTTTAAGTAGTAACCAACTGAGGCCAGCCATGAGCTTCCAACCCACTCAAGAGATTTGGGAAATACCAGGAAATGTAAGAGACCTCCAAACCATCCTCTTTGAGAGTAGGAGCAAATGCTCACTCAGTGTTGTCCTCAGCTATTGCATTTACAGGGACAGAACCAGACACAAAGAAAAAGTAGGGGGAAAAAAAAAATTAAAAGAGTGGCAGTAAAAATAGTATTTTATTCCACCCCCTCCCACCCTCCCTCCCCCCTGCAACCCCCAGTACACTTTTCCCCTCTCGTTCCCACAGCAACATTACAATCAGAAAAAAATAAGTTTGGGGGGCGGGATTTGGGGGAGGGGTATGGGTAAAAACAGTCAAATCACAATAGGAATTTTTCAAAATAGGTTATTCCACTTAGTCGTCATCTTCTCCCTCATCTTCAGGTTCTCGTTTTCGCTTTTGACCCCTTTCTTCTTCTGAAAGGAGGAGAAAAAGGCATTTAGATTAAACATGGGTCCTACACATCTAGGAAGCTTCCTAATCCCAGGCCCATCTTTCCTGGCAACGGAATGCAGGGTATTTGCAAAGCCAATGCAAAAAGCACCAAGTCCAAACTCCCCACTTTAAAGATGGGAAACCTGAGGTACAGAAGTGACTTATTCAAAGTCACACATCATATTAGTGGGAGAGCTGAGTCTAGAAACCAGGTCTCAGGACCCCTGTTGTCTGTTTTGCCACATCACAAGATCCCTAGGGTAAGACATACAGGGTAAAGCACTTGGGGTCTCAGTAGGAAGGAGTGTTCCACCCACCGCCAGGTTCTCAGGGTCTAAAAGTAATCTAAAGCCAAATGAAGGGGCCAGACTGCTAACACTGAGAGAAAGAAGGATGCCATACCACCAAGATCTTCTTCATCTTCTTCATCATCTACTTCTCCGTCATTATAACCTTCTTCATCCTCCTAGGAGAGAAAATGGACATCAGAATATTAGTTATACTCCCAGCTGAGGGACATGCTGTGGTGGCCACTTTCCCTGGCACTGAGTTCAAACAAGCAGGGGTCACCTCTAATCTCTTGGAACCCCATGCCAAGGACCAGCCATCTCAAGATACATCTAAAGCAGAGGGGTTCCTAACTTATTTTGGGTCAAGGGCCTCTTTGAGAGAGAATCTGCAGAAAGCCTGAGAACCTTTTTCACCAAGTACCTGTATGACATACAATAGCTGCAAACAATGTTAAGTGTTTGTAGATTCTGTCCCTGAATTAAGAACTCTCAATCTGAAGCCTCCTTTAACAATGGCAACTGAGCAGACCTCTACAATGTCAAGTAGGCCATCAAGCCATCTATCTTTAATCTAATTTTGACTTCCAAGGGAAGACCACAGTTTCCGAAAATCAGATTCTGAGTTAAGTCCAACCTTACCCTACCCTACCTAGTAGCTATACCATCTTGCAGACTCCTTGGATCAACTAAAAGGCAGGGAAAACTACTGCTGTTGAGACTATCTCAACTCATGGCAACCTCATGCATGCCAGGGTAGAACTGTGCTCCACAGATTTTCAGTGACTAATTTTTTGTAATTAGATTGCCAGACCTTTCTTCTGAAGTGCCTCTGGACTGGAACCTCCAACCTTTTAGTTAATAGTCTAGTCATGAACCACATGTACCACACCCAGGGAAAGGGAGGATAAACTCAAGAACCCCAAGGACAGCATTCCTAATTCACTTGAGATTCAGCAAGACATGTGACTGTATTCTCAACACAGGGCCCTAGCTTTACGCTGCTCCTGAAGTTATGTGCTAGTTGAATTTCTGTATATTGACAATGCTACTAAAGCATCAGGCAGCCATTGTATAAAAAGAACTTGGTGATAAGACTTCTTTTTGTCTGGGGAAATATCCTTTTATAATGTCAAACAGTTCTCTAATCAGTCTGTTTGCTAAGGTTCTGTTTTTGTGTAGACTCTCTTTTACTGGAAGCTGGAAATCTGCAGATGGTCAATGAGATTACAAAAGAAAAGCCCAGCCCCTGTAGCTCCTGTGACAGGAAGGGCAAGACGAGAAATCCATCAGCCAAGATGGGCCGTTCTGTCCTAGGATGACTTATTTTTCAGTCTTTATTTTTAAAATATTTACAATATTTATTAGAGGTGAGCCTAGTAGCTTAAGATTGAGAGAGAAAAAAACCCCAGTCCAGAACTAGACAGACACTAAGCCCATCTCATTAGCTTTCCTATTTGCCTTGACTTGCTCCTCCCTACCCCAGGGTGGGATGGCTAGGAGATCCTGTCTGAGCGGGTCTGTGCTACAGAGTCTGCTGCAGGCAGATGTGTTCTTGTCAGTGCACCTGTCATTTTAAATCTCTCTAGGTCTAACTGTGGCAATTAGTGAGAGTTGATTTAGAATTCTGAAAAAGTCATGGAAAATGATTCTGCTATACAGAAACTTAGGAGCTCTGGTAGCATAGTGCCTAAAAGCACTTGACTGATAACCAGAAGCCTGGCGGTTCAAACCCACCAGCCACTCCTCGGAAGGAAGAGGGGGCAATCTACTTCCGTAGTGATACTGCCTCGGAAACCCAAGGAGGGGTCGCTATGAGTCGGGTCCGACTCAACGGCACATAACAACAACAACAACATATAGAAACTTGGACATCAAAACACAAAACCCAGGACCTTAGAAAAGGTGTGAAAGCCTTAAATAGTATATGGTTGAACATCTACCTCACCCCAACAGACCATCAAGCATTTAACTCCCATTTTATTTTATCCAATTAACAATTCAGTGAAATAAAAGTTTTAATGGGGTAACTATTATACTGGTAAAGAAACAGGCTCAGAAAGGTCAAGTCACTTAACCAAGGACACACAGCTAGCACATGGAAGAGTTGGAATTCAGCTCTGCAAAGACTGTGCTCTTAACCTCTGCACTACATTACCCTTCACAGACATCTCAGACCTTGTTAAGTAACTGTGAACCCACCAATCTGTTAGGATAATGGCTAACTCCTGATGTACAACTGCCACCATTCACAGGAGACCCCTATCCTCTGATTTGGGATCCAGCAGTGTTCCTGAAACCTGACTATCAGTTTAAGGCAGTGCTGGTCTTTGATTTTTCCTAGCGTACTCTAAGTGCTCAATGAATATTCACTGAATTAATACATAAACGCAAAAACCATAGGTGATAGGGACACTGATTCTGTAAGAATTTCTACATAGGAGTAAGAGCCAGGTTTACCTGGGATAAGTGAGTCCCCTTCTTTACCTGCCTCCAAAATCCTCTATTCCCTACTCCTAATCCAACCTCCCCAAGGATTGCTGGAAGTCTTGCCTCCCCAAGAACAGTAAAAGGGTATGGAATAAAACCACTTCCCCAACCAGGGCTCTTGGGCTGATCACCAAGTCCTTTAGTGGGAATGACTCAAGAGGCAGAAGTAAGGAGAGCTGGGGGGAAGAGTAAGTCCCACCCAGGCGAGGTTGGCTTCTTACCTCTTCCTCGCCGCTCACATCCTCCTCTTCACCTTCCTCCTCCTCCTCCTCATCCTCTTCATCATATTCTTCCTCTGTGCAGTCAAAATGGAGAATAAGAACAGACATGGTGCTGAGCTGGCTGTTCCCCTCACACCAATGCAGGCCCCAGGCTGGCGGCAGGCAGAGGAGACCATGACCCTCCCACACCCACCCAGGCCAAGGTCTGAGTACTCATGAAAACAGGGCCAATATATGTGATCAAATACATCTGAAAGGGATCCAAGAGAGTCCCTCCCCACAAGGTCAACAAAAGCAAAAACTCCCTGTAGAAGTTGAGACAACAGAAGGACAAGTTCTAGGACCTGAGAAGAAGTCAACTAATTTATAGAGAACATCTAGTCCAAACTCCCCACTTTAAAGACGGGAAACCTGAGGCTTAGAGAGAACCGATTTGCTCAAGGTCACACATCAAATTAGTGGGAGGGCTGGGTTTAGAAACCATGTCCTGGGAACTCTGTTCCCTTTCTGCAACATCACAAGATCAGGAATACAGGGTTTCTGAATACCTTGCAAAAATACTCCCAACTTAACAAGGAAAAGAAAAAGTTGTGTCTGAATTACATGTATACCCCCAGTTGTCAAGAGTTCACTTTACACGACTTCACGTTTACAAAAGACCTATATTAGTGCCTGTATTCACTAACCAAAGAAATGAAATCCAAAGAGGATTTTTCCCTTGCAGGGGGAGGGGAAGGAGAAGAGCTCCAAAGGTACAACTCTCTTTCAGTGTGTTTTGCAGCGAGCCATTAAAGACTCAGCACGTACTCCAAGTACCAAGAATGGTGTCATCAAGCTCCTTTCCTCAGGAATTACACTGTACAAACATTATTTATACTTTATATAGGCTATATATTTATCATATAGTTCCTGCTTTTACTATGTATGTTAGCTTTAGGTTTTATGTGTTATTTGGTAGATTATTTTTTGGGTCTGGGAAATGTTTGATTATTTTCCCACATAAATTAAGAGGTAACTGCTTCTTTGCTTTATGCCATTTCAGCTTTTGAAAGGTTTTGTTGGAATGCTCTACTTTCAGATAGTGGGGGAAACCTGTACTCAGTCAAGTATCTCAGTTCTCAACTTTACCCTGGCTGTGAAGACCTGCAGGGAAGCTGCACTGTTTGCAGCCTGAGCAGATGTGATGTGGAGGAATCGGAGGTGTGCCTTTCTCCTCCCCGAACACCAAGTCTTGGGTCTTGGACTGTGCCTGTGAGTGCATGAGGAACTTGCTGTCTGCAGCCTCCTTTGCTTCCTGGGGCCCCTGGGGCTGGTTCCTGAGGCCCCACCACCCCCAAGCATAGCCTGTGATCTTGTGGGCTGCAGCCACCAGGGGGTGCCACAACCTCTCTAGGTCATAACCTCACCTCCACTGGATACCCAGGTGGGGGAAGGGGAAAGGACCCTCAGGCTGCACCCCACCTTCCTCTATCCCTTTACCTCCTCTTCTCTACCAAAGGCTGTCTATGTCCAGAGTCATGTTGTAGAGAGAGAATGTAAAACTAATTCCCTGGGCAGGTTTGGAAAGGAGAAAAACTGAAGTGAGAATGACTTTCCAAACCAAACCAAACTCGCTGCCCTCGAGTCAGATCCAACTCATAGTGACCCCTCCTTGGGTTTCTGAGGCAGTATCACTATGGAAGTAGACAGCTGGCTATCTATGAAGTTTCAAACCAGTTGATGACTCTCATGATCTCTCTTTGGGGCAGGTTAGAGAACAGCAGTAAACAAAGACAGCCCACTTCTCCATAGCTTGGAAAGAGGCGGGCACCCAGCTAGCCCTGAGCAGCTGGGCGGGGGCTTCCCAACAATCCTAGCCCTTCCCCTCCAACATAGCACACACCATCCTCATCCTCCTCGTCGTCATCCAGGCCCTCCACGTAGCCCTCGGCATCTGAGTCAGGGGCCTCCTTGTCGTCCCGGTCGTAGCCATCGAGATATGTGAGTTGCGGGAGGAGCTTGAACACGTTTTCTCTGTAGTCGTTCAGGTTGGTTACCTCACAATTGAAAAGGTCTAAGCTCTTGAGGTTTTCTAATTTTTTCTGAAAGTGGGAATATGAAGTCAACAGTGAGTGATCCATCAGAAGGGAAGCATACAATCCTGAGAAAAAGAGGTAATGGGAGACTGCAGAGAGCTCAGGACTCACAGGGGATATAAGGAGACTCTGATGTGGCTTCTGTTCAGCCCTATGTGTGCCCATGCACATCACCCTGATTTGTGGGTCTCAGTTTCTTCATCTGCACAAAGGGACTGGACTTGTGGATCTTTAAAACCTTGCCTAATGCTAACACTTTATTCTGCAATTCAGCTTTTGTTTTAACCATGACTGGCTTGAAATTACACTTAAACTCTCTTGGAACATGAACCAAGTCCTGTCTCTGTCCGTCCCCTGTGCCCAAGAAGCAACAGGGAAACAATGAAAGAGGCATGAACTAAGCCCATCTGTATCTAGCTAACATCATACTTTATATGTAGTATAATTCAATTTATCCTCACCACTCCCAAAAGGGAGAAATAATCCATTTTACAAGATGAGAAAATAAATGGACTTAAGAGAGCTGTCACAGAAATTGGGATTTAATAAATCAGGTAGCCCAAATTCAAACTTGTGTTCTTACTCTGCAATACTGCCTACCAAAAAGAACAAGAGAAAAACTGATGGACAAACCCTTCTATTCAGTTAAAAGAGCTCTTGAAAAGTGGTGGAGGGCAGGGGGTAGTTTTTAAGGGTCTAGGGGGTTCAAGTTTTGTCTGTGGTACTTAACACAATTACAGGAGCCCTGGTTGTACAACTGTTAAGTGATTGGCTGCTAACAGAAAGATTCGTGGATCAAACTTGCCCAGTGATTCCATGGGAAAAAGACCTAGTAGTCTGTGCCTGTAAAGATTTCAGTCTAGGAGATTTTACGGGGCAGTTCTATTTTGCAAATGGAGTCACTTCTGAGTTGAAATTGACTCAATGGAACTTAATACAATTAGGTCAAAGCTTTATACCAGATGGGATGTAGCCATATCATCCCTGTTCGATGGGTGAGGAAACTAAAGCCCAGAAAGTTAAAGGGCCACACTGCTAGCAAGTTATTGAGCTGCATCTCTACCTGCCACCAAGAACCCTAGTCCCAGGCTGAGCCCCACTCTGACTGGACCATGCCTAACAAGACAGGACAGCCACTTGCCTTCAGGGTCAATGCTGGGAGTCAAGGGTAACACCCCAAACAAAAGCAGTATCATGCTGATAACCAGGGAAAGGAAAGCTACTAATACATGCATGAGCTGGGTGAGGGGAAGCAGAAGAGGGTCTCCAATCCTCAGTGGTGACCGAATCATAACATTTTACAAGGATTTGATATACTTGGTCCCCATATCTCACTCCCCAAACACATACAAACAGAATTTCAATGATTTTTCCTTTTCTAATGCAATTACGAAATCAAGGCTTCCTGGTCGATCTGAATAGTTTTGCTTCCTCCTAGACCAGTGGGAGACCTGAAAAGAAGTTCTGTGAGAATCACGTACTAGTAGTCAATCCCATGCCACAGATGGACAAGCAAAACTTGAGCTTGGGAAAGAAATGCCAGGTTCTTGTTGGGCCACCACAGCCCTGCTGGCCAGCCCCTTGAGATTCTACAGAGAGAGGGAGTGTTTTGGGGGCAAAAACCCTGCAACTGCAAGCTCAAACTGATGGGATATCCCCAACCTCCATTATATACACCCAGAAAAGGAAAGCACAGGCAGACTTAACAAAATGTCTTCATGGTCTTTCACTGATTTTAAGATGCATGGTTTATAAGGTGATTCTTTTATGTATATTTGTTACTGTGTTTAAACGTGCTTATTTAATGTTAGCTTTTTTTTTTTTTTTTGAGGAGAGGCAGTACTGAGAATGAAGGAAAAGCACAGTTAATTCAGATCCTGGCCATGTAGAAATTCTTATTCTGACCAGAACTTGCTCCTTTCTGGTTAATAAATCAGTGAGGACCAGGGTATGCTCAGCTCTACAAGGAAGAGCAGAGTAGACAGACACACTGTCCAGATTTCTGCAGCCCAGGTCAAGTCACATCAAAGACCAGTGACAGGAACTATTACTCTCCATGCCATGTAGAGGAAGACCTGAAAGAGGCTCGGGTACCACCCAGGTGTCTGTCACCCCACATCCTTGTCACCTACATCCTTGTCACCCACAGGTTGTATTCAAACAGACCTACTCTCATCCTTCAGAGTCACCAGCATTATCATCACCCCTATAATGTTCAGTTTAGAGTTCTTGCAGTTCAGAACACAGTGTCAAGTCAAAGAGAAATGGGGCCCCACTGAGGTAAGGGGCCAGCTTAAACCTTGGTTATCACTTCCTCCTAACCCCGCAAGAAGGCTCATAAGCTTATGCTAAGCCTGAAGAAACTGCAGCTCAGGTTCCCAAAGTCAAGCAAAAACCATGAAGGGAAAAGCATCAGACCAGAAATCAGAGAGCAAGGTCCTCACCCACTTTCCCAATGACTGCCAATTCTAGCTATTTGACCTTGGCCATTCCATTCAACTTCTATGAGCCTCACTTTCTCTATGGACAAAGAAAGAAATAGTAGCTCCAAGTCTGTCTCATAAAACAATAATGAGAATCAAAGGAAGTACGATAAATAGTAGTATTCCTTGATAGCAATTCCTCTCCATCCCTAAGCCCCTACAGAGAAGGGAGGATCCAAATGACTTACCAGTGGCTCTATTGTGCTGAGGTCTTTAATTTTGTTGCCACTTAAATTTAGATGCGTGAGGTTCGGACACTTTTCTGCCAATACTTCCAGGCCCCCTGAGATTCTGTTATCGCTTAGTTCAAGCTAAACAAGGCAAGGAGAGAAGAAGCAGAAACAGCTCTTACCATGAAGGCTCAGCTTAGAGATACCTGGCTCTCACCAGACACAGCCAGGAAGGAAAAGTAGTCTCAGGGAATTATCCAGCATGTTGTTGCACGCACCTGGCTTTACCTGTAATTATGCTCACTTAAAACACCAGGCAGTAATATAGTCTTCCTCCCAACACACACACACACACACACACACACACACTCACTCACTCTCTCTCCCTCTCCCTCCCTCCTTCTCTCCACTCATATTTACCTTCTTAAGTTTGTTTAACTTTGGTAAGTTTGCGACTGAGGTGAGGCCTACATTGATTGTACTTAAGAACTCCAGTTCCTCAAATTCATCTGTGAGGCCTTCGATTTTGCCTTCATTCGACCGACAATTGTCCAGGACAAGCTCTTTCACCTGGAAAAGGAAGGCAGCATGAATAAAACACCAGTCCCATAGCTCCCTGCCAGCACCAGCTCTATAATGCTGTTCAAGGTCCTCCTGGCCTAGGACTTACCATACCATCAAATATCCCTACCCTAACACCCCTTTTAAGACCCTAGTCTGCTTGCTGTCTTTAGCCCCCACCTTCCTGTCCTCCACGAGTCGGGGACCCTTTGCTTGTTGATGGTTCCCAAGATGCACATGTACACTTGCTTTTACTGGCTCTTACCATTAGTCAAAGCCTGCCCACCTGGAGTCTGGTGTTAAGACATTGTGGTCACCCATTTGGTCTGCCCCGTGGTCAGACATCAGACCAGGAAACCCAATTTTCCATTCTCAGCACTGCCCAACAGAGCAGACATGTGGCTAAGGAGCACTTGAAATGTGATACGTGTCACTGAGGAACTGCACTGTAAATGTCATTAAGTGTAAAAGAGCCATATTCTGCTACCATGTTGGATAGTGTGGCTATAGACTGCTTTTCAAAGTCCTGAGTGTAGATGTAGGAAGAGGACACAGAAATCCATAAACCCAGGATAGGCCCATAATGAAATGCTGAGGTTGGCAAAATCCAAAAAACTATCTTTGGAGACACTGTCCCTTGTCTACCGCCTCTCTCCCCTCTCCCAACTCCCTGGAGGCACTTTAGCCCTCTGTCCTCCCCTCTTTTTCTTTTACCCAAAATTTGGATCTTAAATCCTTTATTTCTAACAAGGTGGAAAGAACCAGTAGAAAGCTACATTCTCTCTCAGTTGTTAAAAGGAAGACTTGTCTTACACAGGAATGGACTTGAAGATAAAGTTAAAGGATCCAGTAAAGATGGAAAAAAGACAAGCTGAGGAAGAGCAATCAGGACCTCGGCATGAAGTGACCCAGAGGTGTGTCAGCAAGAGAGACAAGGGTACCTGGTCCTCCAGGCAGCCAGCCCAGGGTTACCTACTCCTGTTTGCAGAGCAGTCCGGCTGCTTATGAAGCCTGGAGGGCTCCTTAAAGGTGACCCCTCCTGGCTGCACCTTGTGCTCGACGCCCCCTATAATGGTCAGCCCAGAGTTTCTTCAGCTCAGAGCACAGCCATTCTCATCTGCCTACTATCTGCAGCTTGCCAAGAAATACTTTCGGGTGTTGACTAGATATGCTGCCCCCTGAACTCCTATCCACAGGTCCTGATTTCTTATCAATGGGAGAAGAGGAAATGGGAATAGGATCCACACCAGGCTGCCCCCTGGCTCAGTCCACTCCTGCTGGCAGGCAGAGCAGGAGCACTCTGAGTATATCTGGATCTCACAGTACCATAGAAGCCCGGAGCCGCCCTGCTTTTACCCGAGTGGACAAAGGCACTATGCTCCGCCAAGAGAGCTGCGATAGCAGGTTCCATCCAGCATAACTACAAAGGAGTGCAGGGGAATGGCAGCTCTTTCCCAGTGCTAAGGGGCTCTCAGCCTAGACACTGGCCACCCAAGGCCCACCTTGCCACTGGCTCTTAGTTGGGAGAAATCGAGTCCCTTTCCATGCCCTCAATCTCTAGGAGAAGCCAGATGGCCAGGTCAAACCACCTTCTCAAGGTCACTGGCAAGAATGCCTGGGAATAAATGCTGTAGGCCTTCTGCTGCTCTAAGGTAGGGAAGCAGTGTAGAGCCAGGAAGCCAGGCCTTAGGGGACCAGAGCAAATGCCAGAGATTAACTGCCTTGGGGGAGGGGGAAGCATTTCTGTCATCTGCAGTAAACACTAGAGTCACAAGGTCCAGTCTTCTTTAGCAATTGGTTTCCTGGGAAGGCCCTGGGAATTCCTTAAGCTTCACCAAAGACAGACAAATATGACAAGGGATTCCAGTCCACCCTCAAAGATTTCAGACATGTGGTTTTTCTAGGCGTGTCAAGGGCCCTCAGCAATGGGGGAGGGGCTGCTGGGGAGTTAAGAGAATTCTGCCTGGATGTCCGCCTCTTTCCTGGAGAGGCATGCTGTTGTTGACTGCCACCCCTGCCAGGACGCCAGGCAGATATGAGGTTTCACAGCGTTGATCGGGCCAGTCCCCAGTTCCCAACATTACAACTAAACTGGTGGCCAGTCTTCCTGGGGACAGTAAGTGAGCCACTAATAGTATTTTTATCGATAATAGTCATTGGATCTTTCCTGAGCCCTTGTCATGAACCAAGGACATTCTAAAGTCTTTCACACACATATTACCACATTTGAACCTGACAATTGCTCCATGGGGTATTCTCCTCACTAAAAAAATCCTAGGACATATTCACAGAAGAGGATGTCAACTGGATGAAGCAGGCCAGCACTAGGCACAAGATGAAGAGAGTCGCAAATGGCTTCTCCAATATTCCCAAAATGGAGTACCCAAGTGCTCCCAGACCCCCTAAATCAATTCTACAAGTTTCCTTGACCCTAGCTGCTCCCCTTTAGCCCCTCTCCTAACGGTTTCACCAGTCAGTTGGGTGCTACTCCCAGCAGACCCCACCCTAGTTACACTTCCTTGGTAACTAAAGCACAAAATCTAAGCAAGCCATTGCTCAAATGATGCTGCAGTCAGGCAGCAACACTCTGGAGTGGGGCCTGGGGACCTTACTCTTCCCTAGGCAGCACTTGGGAAACCCTGTGGTTTCTGACCCACCAGGTGGTGGTTAACAGTCTGGGCTGCGGGGGGGTCTCTGGAATCCCCACTGCTTCTGCATTTCCTTCCTGGCAGGCTTTCAGTACATCTGGGGTGAGACCAAAGACAGAGGAGAGGAGGGCAGGACTTAGATCTGGAGGGTGCTGATATCACCAAAAAGCCCAAACCAAGTGGAGGGAAAGCCCCCATTGCTTCTCAGGCAGAGTGAGGCAGGATGGTGCATTAAATGGGAGGCTGCCTGGAAGGTGGAAACTGACCAAACAAGACAAAACAGAAACATGAGTCCACCAGCTGACCTGTGGAGTCATTCAGTCCAACCCCTGCCTCCATGGAGGACTATATCTTCTCAGAGCTCCAGGGTGGACTAACATGTTTGAAAGCCTCCAACCCATTTGACTCTAAACTCAACTGCAATTTGAAGCTACTTCCATTCATCTGTGGTTAGTGGCCACTGCTCTGAAACTCTTCAATGCAAAGAACACATCCCTTTCACATGTAGGGTGTGTTCTGCTTAAAAAGGACCCCTCCCTCCAAAAAAAGAAACAGAAAACTAAGGCCCACTCCCCCTGCCAAGGCTAAGTGCAAAGTTAAAATTAAACTAAAAACTTGTACTTTGGGTTTAGATGCTCTCAAAATTCCACTGGCCACAGTGGCCATTTAAAAATACCCGAATGTGGTTACTTTCTCTCATCCAACAACTGGAATTACTCTGTTTGTGTAAGGAGCTTTTCAGCCCCCAGAGCCAAACCGACAAAGTTTCATTCCTCAAGTGTCATCAATGTCTAATGGGAGCTGTCATATTCATACATATTCAGCCCCAAGAGATGTCAATGGGGAGAGATTCCAAAGAATCTCTTGTGGGGAAAGGTGGGTGGAATGACCACTTCTGCATTTCTTGAAAAACTTGTCCCCAAAGCAAGGTCCCATCATCAGTCCTTCTCACCAGTGGGAGCTGAAACTTCCATTACAAACAGGAACACTACTGCTTGTTTCAAAAGTAACTTCGTCCTTAAAATCTCTCAAATTTGACCTTTCTCCTCCATTCCCAACACTGCAGCCTGGGGTCACTCACTGTCACCTCAAGTCACTTCAAGCCTGACTTTCTGGCTCCAAACAGGGTTCTGTGACTGTGGGGGCAGACCTTGACTTGGAGTCCCAAGACTTGACTGGTCAAGCTCTATACTTCAGGTCTCAGGCTTCTACCTCTGCAGAAATGGGATGATGATAACATCTGTTTAACCTATAAAGTACAAAGTCCAGCCTAGCAAACATTCCTGCCTCCAGAAAAAAATCCAAGTTCCCGAGCATGACCTTTGAAGTCCTCCATTCCTGACCTCTCCCCTATTCCTCCAGTCTCCTTACTCCCCACCTCTCACCTTCACACTACTCATCTTGTTCAAGTACCCTCCCCACGAAGCATGGGGCCTTCCTGGACCTGGCTCTTAGCATCCCAAGGCACTGAAAGCAGCCACCGCATGAATCATTTAATTGAGTATTAAGCATTCGATCCTCCTAGAGGTCAGGAACTGTCCTCCATAATCAGCCTAGCAGGCAGAAGGACAGCAGAACAACTGCTTAACAAATGTCCTGTTTAGTGTGCCAGACACACCACTAGGAGCTGGGAATGCAGCAGTCACACCACTGTAAAACTTACTTGTAACTAGTTGAGGAAGTGTGGAATGAGTGCTACCTTTCATAAACAACAACTTTTTTTAAGTTATTAACTGTGTGTCCCCCAACACACACATAACTCTTGGGTTGGGGGAGGCAGGTTAATTGTGTCCATCCCCACTGCCTCCACCTGACCCAGTGTTCTTCAAGCAAGAGCCCTAGAAGTCCCCCTCCACACAGGTTGCTTCTGCAATGTTGTTCACCTGGGCAAATGCTTAGGGCACATGTGGCCACTGCAAGCCAAGGCTAGGGTCCTTGTCACCAAGAGGTGCAGTGGAGGGCTAGGAGGGGACAAGTAGCTGGTAAACAGCCACAGTCCAATGTGGCAGGTAGCAGGACTGAGTACATTCTTCAAATGCCTCCACCACAGGATGGGGCACACTAAAGGGAGATGAAGAGTAGGCCTAGGAAGGCCAAGAAAGCACATGCAGGATCTTAGAACCCACACTGGCTCATGATCTGTGGGGCCCATGCAAAATGAAAATGTGAGTTACCTTGCTTGAAAATTATTAAGAATTTCAAGACAATGACCATAGACCATTAAGCCAAGCACAGGGCCCTGAGTGACTGTACAGGTCACATGCCTGTGAAGGCCACCCTGATTAAAATGCCAGCTTAGGGCTAAAACGGGACCCCCTTTGAAGGATGAGGCTAGAGAGAAGGAAGCTCAGAATGAGATCT